GGCATTTCCACTTAAGGAGAATTTCCCTCCTTGCATAGAAGGAGGCAAAAACAGTTTGACATAGTTACTAAATTCAGCTGCTTCCAGCACTCCTAAAAGCAACACCTTAGGGTCTAGGGGCAAGGTCAAATCATAAGTAACATTAATGGCATTCAAGACAGAAGTCCAAAAATTCCTGAGTTTAGGGCAGGTCCAGACCATATGATAGAAGTTACCTTCAGCCTGCTCACATAGAGGACTGACTGAATGTATATAGCGGCCAAGCGAACAGGAGTCAAGTAAGCTCTGTGGGGAAATTTACCTTAAATAAACATATCCTTGGCCGAGACCATGTTAGTGACATGATGAGTGGTACACATGTCTCAATCTTCCTCGGTTAAATCAGGTAAGTCTGCCTGCCACTTGGTAAACAGCTTAATCAGTCTCAGCGAATGAGCCACTGAGAGGTGAAGGTAGATCAAGCACAAAGGCTCACCCATTGCCCTAGAGGTCAAGAGACACTCCAGGGGATCAGACTGAAGAGTAACATCAGTTGGGAATTGCATATGCACAGCATGTCTAAGTTGCAGATAGCGAAAGAACATCATATTAGGCAGGTGAAATTCAGCTTGAAAGTGTGCAAAGCTGCGCAACCTGCCATTAAGATAGGATATGCTTGAATCCCACTATCCCTCAAGCAGCCCACAGGTGGGGATCGGGCAACATAGCCAGGTGGGGCAGGGTAGGATTAGCCCACAGGGGAATATGATGAAAAAATCTAAAAGGTTCACGGTACTGCGCCCTCACCTGTTGCCACACCACGATAGTGGTTCTCATCAGACAAGTAAGTGAGGAAAGGGCCCTCAGGCCTCCAAAAACTAAATTAATAACTGCTGGGCTATTCCTTGGCTGCGAGAACCACCACCTCATCATAACCAATATGGCTGATCGATAGCATAGACGGAAGTCAGGCAGAGAAAGTCCCCCCTGTGAAAGGGTGAGTCTCAGTGTAGACTTGGCAACCCAGGGGGTGTTGTCGGCCCAAATAAATGAACCAACAATACTGTCCACCTTATTAAAAAAGGATTTGGGTATGCAGACAGGCGTATTTCTAAAACAATTGAAAAAACGTAGGTAGATAAATAATTTTTAGTAGGTTAATTCTTCATATGGGATATAGTGGGAGCGTACTCCAGGTGGTGCATCTGTGGGACAAGGATTGAAGCAAGGGGAGTAAATTGAGATCCACATAGGAGAAAAGAGAGTTGCTAATACGGATCCCCAAGTACTTAAACTCCATGGCCCACTGTAATGGGGCATCGGTAACGGTGGGGCAGGCCCCGTAGTCCCACCGTAGGTCCCAGTGTCAGGCATGGCAGTCATAGAGTCTTCCAAGAAATTAGGTATAGGAATGGAACAGTACCAAAAGAAAAACAGCTGAGTTGGCAGCCCACCCAAAGTGAGCAAGGTAAATCATAGGGAAAGAAAGAAGGAAGAAGTGCAGTTTACTTGCGAGAGGTTTCCAACCAGGACATAGCATCCTCTGGAGACATGAAGAATTTGGCTTCCTGAGGCAAGCTGGTAAGAGGATGCTGTATTTCACCTATTTTTTTCTCATCTTGGCTCGGACGGCGTCAAAGGATTTACGGAGGCACTGCGTTTCATCTGAGTAATCAGGGAAGATCATCAGCTTGGAGTTACCATAGACCAGTTTGCCCTGGGCCTGCGTGGTCCACAGGACCAGGTCACGGTCCCTGAAGTGCAGAAGCTTGAAGATTAAAGTGTGCGGGGATGCCCCAGGAGACCCATGAACAGGTGGCATATGATAAGCGCTTTCCACTTAGAAAGAGAAGAGAGCTCCTGGTAAAAGCTGAGTGAGCAGCAGCTGTTCAGTGAACTTGGTAGGCCCGGCGTCCTCAGCACCTTCGGGAAGACCCCGGATGCACAGATTATTCCACCAGTTCCTGTTCTCCATATCCTTCGCACGGGCTTCGAGATTGCGCTCATTATCTTTAGTGTGTGGAGATCAGCTGTGTAATCTCTCTGGTTATCTTCCACATCCAAGACCCAGAGTTCAACCGTAGCAATGCGTTCACGGAAGTAATCCAGGTCCTGCCTGATAAGCCCTGTATGTCTGTCTGGACATAATTGATTTTCGTCATAAGGGTTGTCTGGCAGGCCGTAATAGCTGTCAGAAGGGCCGTGCAGTCCACAGGTGCAGGTTGAGAAGAGGGCTGAGGTTCTGTCTGCGTGGCCATGCTGGAGAAAATGGTGGCCGTCTTCCAGCGAGCCGGAGTTGTAGGTTTCCCCTTCGCCAACACCATGACACTCTGCTGCCCCAGGGACAAGGATTGTTGCCTGTGTAGTGGATACCTGCACTGGTAATTAAAGGATTCATGCAGTTTCCATTGGAGCTCCTGAAACAGACATCCGCTCCCAGTGCCTTGGACTAGCCCCCCTACATGGAGAAGTTAGAAATTTTAATTGTGCATAACCAGCAACCTGAAAAATTAATTCTTCTGAACAATAGCAGTGCACTTCCTGATGCGTGAGTGTGCTTAGGCACTCCTGTGCCTTGCAACTCTGTAACCGCAGTGTAAGATCTTAGGCACTACTGCTTGTAACCGCTAATCTTGGGAGGATTGAAGTGAGTTTTAGGGATGTCACTGCAGTGCTGCTCACTGGAGGCTCTGACATGAGGAAGGAAAGCCCTGCCTTTACCAAGATAGCTGCTTCCACACAAGGACATTCTCTGAAGATTTAGAGTGTAATTTGGTGATGTCATAACTGTGCTGCTCACTGTTTTTCTTGCTGGAGGCTCTGCCTTGAGGAAGTAAAGGCTCTGTCCCTAATAATATCGTCACCTCCACACACAAAAACACAGTGCAGAACAGGGTATAGTATGTCAGTAATGGGAAAATATTAGCTATAAGGAAACCACAGGCAAGACTGATGACTAGTCCTTTGCCCTCACTCTGCAATTTTGGGTACATCCTTCAAAGATAATTTCTCCTTTATATGCTAGTTCTCCAATGCATTCAGGTACAGCAACCAATCAGACTTTAGTTTGTTCTAGTCAGACTTCAGCAGAATTAATTCTGATTGGTTACTATTGGCTATTGAACTTATGAGTTATCACTTATCAAAGAGTATTTAACCATATACATACTTTACCATTGGAATCTTTTTTTATATATCTCCTAAAAAGTGAAAAAATAAACTACTGATCCTGCCAGAAATCCAGTTTTAATTTACTATGGATGGGTGCCAGCTTACCTAAAATCTTAAGCAGTTCTTGTAGCAATCGTGCACACAGAGACGGAAACGAACCTCCATTTTGGCAAAGGACCGTCCATCTTGTACAATCATATTTCTCTCTCCCTCTTTCCTCATCCCCCTCCCTCTCTCTTGAGTGACATGTGGTCTGTTTGATGCAGAGTTCAAAAAGGCATCGAAACCCAGTGGGAGGGTGTCCTGGCTATAAAACCTCACCAGCTAGGTGCCTAGCTGTCTGTTCGCTGTGCAATCTGGGATATCATAAAAGTGTAAACCAAGTTCCTCACTGAACTTCAAAAGACCTTCCAAGGGGTCGTAAAAAACAGACTTACTTTTAAAAACTCACTTTTTCATACAAGTTGATATCTTCACGTAGGACATAATTACCTAAACATGGAGCCCATATTCGGACGGCTCAATTTGAGACCATTCTCCTGGTATGTTGCACCCCTTATCTGACACATGTAAGAGAGCAGAAAATTACATCTCCTGAACCATTCAAGTAGATTTGACATGTTTCATCTCTAACCATTCCCCAGATGCGGCTGAGTATTAATACACTAGTGCCCAGGCTGGCAAATGCCCCAAGAATTAGTTATGAATCATAATAGCAGCTACGAGAGTTTCTAGTCATAACTTAGGGCTCCACCTACATTTCCCTCCCCAAAGGAGACAATTGGTTTCACTGCTCCAGGGAGACACTCTGCTGAGATCCTAGAAAAAGGCTGTTATGCTTGGTGTGTGTGAGAAAGAAAAGAAGAGTCTCCTGTGTTAACATCGAAACTGACAGTAGAGACAAGAAATCCTTTTGACTTATGAAACTTGAAGCTGCTTACACCAAGGCTGACTGGCAAGTACTTTAACCCTCTAAATTCCTTTCTGTTATCTCTTTGCTGTGCTATTGTTCTCTGTATATTTTTATATATATATATTGGCTACATATTTTTCTGTAAATATTTTTATTGCACCCCTTTTGACCTTTTAGTAATAAATCTTACTTTCTGAAAGTGTTGAACTGTGTCTAAAGCTCTTTAATGCAAATTACGAATGCCTGCTGCTGAAGAACACTACTGTGTGTGTTTAACCCTCTGTATAACCTACCTGCGGTGACAGTGGTATACAGACGATTATTTCAACCATCATGTTATTACTGATATTGCCGAGTTTCTTCTTTCTCTATACAAAAAGGAGGTGGTGGCAGTGTGAAGGGTTAATTGCGTAATTAACCTGACCCAGTAACAATCACGCTCAGGCTGCTGGTACATTGATTGTGGTCCATTAGCTGGAAAATCGTTGTGCAGGGTGCAGATGGGCGTGGCATTGTTACACATGTGATATCGCGGTTTTAGATTGCCTAGTCCTTTGGTCATGAGTTTGGTGTGAAGGGCTGGGATCTGACGTCGCGATCGTCACAGTTCTATCAGCCCTGCCCAGTGCACATCTGTACTACAGTACTCCTCCTCCTTATATTATGGTGATGAGAAGAGGGGGAAGTGTTCTGTTACTTAAATCAGGAGTGAGCAGCCTAGACTGACAACACTGATCCTGCATAGACAAAGTACTATGAATGTTATTACTCTAGGACAGGAAGTGTATTACTGGCAGGCTCCCCATGTAAAAATAAAGGAAAAAGTCAGAAAACAAATGCAGCCACCAAATCCAGAATTAGTCAGTTGAAATATATATATAAAGATATATATTTATATATACACTATATTGCCAAAAGTATCGGGAAACCCTTCCAAATCATTGGATTCAGCTGTTCCAATCACTTCCATGGCCACAGGTGTATAAAATCAAGCACCTAGGCATACATACTGACAGAATATATGACTTTCCTTTAGACAAATAAATAAACAAAATAAATAAAATAAAATAAAATAAAACCAACACAAAACATCAAACCATAAGAATTGTCCAAAATCTCACAGTGTCCAAAAATTCAAAAATATAAAAATATAAAAAATGTATAAACTAACAAAAAATAATCCCCACAGGTGTAAATATAAAAAACTTATTCTTCTTCTTTCATCACCAAAAAAACCTTCTTAATACTGATGTTCATACACCTCAAAAAAGAGAAAAACTCGACATAGTGTCATACCTTAAAATAATATTATAACACACGTGCCACTCACTGTGCAGCATGCAAAATATTTTTTATAGATGTGTATGCTCTAAACGAGTGTCTATACACATGCAAATATATAAGTGAATATCAGTATAAGTGAAGTACTTTCACATAGAATATTAAAATACAATGTGTGAAAACCACTCCAAAAATATCACTGCAAGTGTGTATCACCACACCCTATATACATCAGTGATAGCCAAAAACCCAAATCACCACTCTCCAACTCATATGCTGATGGGTAATTACCCTATAGAAGAAACAGCAGGGCAAAACACCACTCTGGGTTAATTTCTCCTCACAACGATTTTCTCCAAAGCTAGGGCCACTTCCTCCACCATCCTCAAGAAAATCAGTCACAGTATATAAAAGATATCCTCCTTTATTGGTAACTCACATAACATTTGGATGGCAACAGCTCCTCCTCACAAGGGTACAAGCATGGACAGGTTCAGGGAAACATTGGCCGCATGTTCCCACTTCCAAGATGGCCGCGATCGCACTTCCGGTCAACGTCGATACGTCTGACGTCACGTGTCCCTGACGTGTTTCGTCACTTCCTATGACTTTTTCAGAAGGGACCCTTCTGTATATTTTTATATATATATATATTGGCTACATATTTTTCTGTAAATATTTTTATTGCACCCCTTTTGACTTTTTAGTAATAAATCTTACTTTCTGAAAGTGTTGAACTGTGTCTAAAGCTCTTTAATGCAGGGACCCTTCTGAAAAAGTCATAGGAAGTGACGAAACGCGTCAGCGACACGTGACGTCAGACGTATCGACGTTGACCGGAAGTGCGATCGCGGCCATCTTGGAAGTGGAAACATGCGGCCAATGTTTCCCTGAACCTGTCCATGCTTGTACCCTTGTGAGGAGGAGCTGTTGCCATCCAAATGTTATGTGAGTTACCAATAAAGGAGGATATCTTTTATATACTGTGACTGATTTTCTTGAGGATGGTGGAGGAAGTGGCCCTAGCTTTGGAGAAAATCGTTGTGAGGAGAAATTAACCCAGAGTGGTGTTTTGCCCTGCTGTTTCTTCTATAGGGTAATTACCCATCAGCATATGAGTTGGAGAGTGGTGATTTGGGTTTTTGGCTATCACTGATGTATATAAGGTGTGGTGATACACACTTGCAGTGATATTTTTGGAGTGGTTTTCACACATTGTATTTTAATATTCTATGTGAATGTGCTTCACTTATACTGATATTCACTTATATATTTGCATGTGTATAGACACTCGTTTAGAGCATACACATCTATAAAAAATATTTTGCATGCTGCACAGTGAGTGGCACGTGTGTTATAATATTATTTTAAGGTATGACACTATGTCGAGTTTTTCTCTTTTTTGAGGTGTATGAACATCAGGATTTGCGGGTATTAAGAAGGATTTTTTGGTGATGAAAGAAGAAGAATAAGTTTTTTTATCTTACACCTGTGGGGATTATTTTTTGTTATTTTATACATTTTTTTATATTTTTGAATTTTTGGACACTGTGAGATTTTGGACAATTCTTATGGTTTGATGTTTTGTGTTGGTTTTATTTTATTTTCATTTATTTTGTTTATTTATTTGTCTAAAGGAAAGTCATATATTCTGTCTGGTTGGCCTTCAAGGGTGGAGGTGGATAACTTTTCTGGGATACTATAGGGTGTAAGTGTTGCTATATAGAATTATAGGCATACATACTGCTTCTATATAAATTTGTGAAAGAATGGGTCACTCTAAGGAGCTCAGTGAATTCAAGCGTGGTACCATGATAGGTTGCCACCTGTGCAATAAGTCCATCTGTGACATTTCCTTGCTACTAATTATTCCACGGTCAACTGTTAGTGGTATTATAACAAAGTGGAAGCAACTGGGAACAACAGCAACTCAGCCACCAAGTGGTAGGCCACGTAAAAATGACAGAGTGGGGTCAGCACATGCTGGAGCACACAGTGCGCAGAAGTTGGCAACTGTCTACAGAGTCAATAGCTAGAGACCTCCAAACTTCATGTGGTCTTCAGATTAGCACAACAACAGTGTGTAGAGAGCTTAATGGAATGGGTTTCCATGGCCGAGCAGCTGCATCCAAGCCTTTCATCACCAAGTGCAATGCAAAACGTTGGATGCAGTGGTGTAAAGCACACCGCCACTGGCCGCTAGAGACATGTTCTCTGGAGTGACAAATCACACTTCTCTGTCTGGCAATCCGATGGACTTATCTGGGTTTGGTGGTTGCCAGGAGAATGGTACTTGCCTGACTGCATTGTGCCAAGTGTAAAGGTTGGTGGAGGGGGGATTATGACGTTGGGCTGTTTTTCAGGGGTTGGGCGTCAGCATACCAAGGCATTTTGGACAATTTCATGCTTCCAACTTAGTAGGAACAGCTTGGGGATGGCCCCTTCCTGTTCCAACATGATTGCGCACCAGTGCAAAAAGCAAGGTCCATAAGGATATGGAGGAGCAAGTTTGGGGTGGAGGAACTTTACTGGCCTGCACCGAGTCCTGATGTCAACCTGACAGAAGACCTTTGGGATGAATTAGAGTGGAGACTGCGTGCCAGGCCTTCTCGTCCGACATCAGTGCCTGACCTCACAAATGTGCTTCTGGAAGAATGGTCAAACATTCCCATAGACACACTCCTAAACCTTGTGGACAGCCTTCCCAGAAGAGTTGAAGCTGTTATAGCTGCAAAGGGTGGGCCAACTCAATACTGAGTTACTGGGCAACCTAGTGGCGTCGGATGGACCGAAACATGATATCCCAGAGGTGTTCTATTAGATTTAGGTCAGGTGAGCATGGGGGCCAGTTAATGGTATCACTTTCTTCATCCTCCAGGAACTGCCTGCATACTTTCACCACATGAGGCCAGGCATTGTCGTGCATCAAGAGGAACCCAGGACCCACTGCACCAGTGTAGGGTCTGACAATGGGTGCGAAGATTTCATCCCAATACCTAATGGCAGTCGGGGGTGCCATTGTCTAGCCTGCAGAGGTCTGTGTGTCCCTCCATGGATATGCCTCCCCAGACCATCAATGACCCACCACCAAAACATGCTGAACAATGTTACAGGCAGCATAGCGTTCTCCGCGGCTTCTCCAGACCCTTTCACATCTGTCCCATGAGCTCAGGGTGAACCTGCTCTCATCTGTGAAAAGCGCTAGTGGCGGACCTGCCAATTTTGGTGTTCAATGGCAAATGCCAATCGAGCTCTATGGTGCAGTGAGCACAGGGCCCACTAGAGGACGTCAAGCCCTCAGGCCACCCTCATGAAGTCTGTTTCTGATTGTTTGGTCAGAGACATTCACACCAGTGGCCTGCTGGAGGTCATTTTGTAGGGCTCTGGCAGTGTTCATCCTGTTCCTCCTTGCACAAAGGAGAAGATACTGGTCCTGCTGATGGGTTAGGGACCTTCTACGGCCCTGTCCAGCTCTCCTAGGGTAACTGCCTGTCTCCTGGAATCTCCTCCATGTTCTTTAGACTGTGCTGGAAGACACAGCAAACCTTCTGGCAATGGCACGCATTGATGTGCCATCCTGGAGGAGTTGCACTACCTGTGCAACCTTTGTGAGGGTCCAGGTGTCGCCTCATGCTACCAGTAGCAACACTGAACCTAGCCATATGCAAAACTAGTGAAAAACAGTCAAAAAAGACTAAGTAGGGAAACAAATGTCAGTGGCCTCCACCTGTAAACCCATTTCTGTTTTGGGGGTTGTCTCATTGTTGCCCATCTAGTGCACCTGTTGTTAATTTCATTAACACCAAAGCAGCTGAAACTGATTAACAACCCCCTCTGCTACTTAACTGACCAGATCAATATCCCAGGAGTTTCATTGACTTGATGCTATACTCGGATTAAAAAATCTTCCTTTAATTATGTTGTCAGCAATTTTAAAGAGACATAGGGCTCACTATAGTTTCAGGTAATTGGATTATCAACAGTAAGACAGATGTGTGTCGTTAGATGTTTTCCTACTGGGTCAGTAGGTTTAGAACCTCATCTCAGCATGAGCCTGTCATGTAAAATAAGTGTGTATAGTTATCCTTCTATACTAAAGTATAAAGTTAAACTTCTATAATAAAATAGAAAATTCATACCATTCTGTATTGGGCCCCAGCACTTCAAACTATTTCAGTTAGGGCCACATGAAGAGCAATAATGGTGATGCCAAAAGTACATATTAACCCAAACACTAAAATCTCATATACACTTTAAATTTTATTGTAACTTCAAAAGTAATCTTCAATGCAATGTTTGTTAAGATAATACCTGGTATCCTGCCAAGGTCATTGTTCAGGCACCTTCTGTTATAGAGCGACAACCCTCTGTCTACTAATTGTGCTCCATGTTGTCTTCGTCACATAGGCTTCCAATAGAGTCTACAAGTGGCTATCTCAACACCAGCACAGTCCAGCATGGTCCACTGTTGTCACTTATCAGGAACACTACCCTGAGAAATGCCATGCAACCATCGCTGGGAGTACATGCTGAGATGAAGTAAAGTGGCTGTAGAAGATCAGCAGCACTGAAATGAACAAAGGATAAAAAAAAGGTGAAAACAAGGAAAACGAATGGGTAAGACAAGGGCTCATTCAGACACCTGCCCTGCATGCTTGGTTGCTGTCTTCTGCATCTGTATCCACCTTGGAGCTGTGCACAGACACAGTGGCTGCATGGACGCAATGGCACATCAAAGTTTGACATGCAGGTAAGAGTGGGTGCACAGATCCAAATGCAGACAGTATGCATTCAGGTTCATACACTCACCTCTGCAAGCACGCCAAGTTTTAACATGCGGCTGAGTCCATACAGCTGCTGCATTCACTTCTACAGGCTGCATGTGCACAACTCTTAGGTGGATGCAGACGCAAAAGACAGTGGCTCAGCATATAGGACAGGTGTCAGTGCTCATCTGAATGAGCCCTAAGGAATGCCAAATGCAGAAAAGAATGGAAGGAAGGGGATGTATGATATGCATGGTATCACATTTCTGCAGCAAAAACACAGGCATGACTTTCCAGGCCATAACAGAACGGATGCAGGATCACAATAGTACTGAATTTCAATGAATCTGAAATAAATTTTAATGAAAGGAATTATCCAAATTTGAATTTGAAAATGAATTTGAATTCGAAAATGGATTTGAATTTGAAATAGAAACATATTGCAATAAGTACAGTAAGGTATAAAAGTGAAATAAGATGATGATTCCTACTTTATAGCACATAATAGAATATAGAATATAATGACAGAATAGAATAGAAAGGAATAGAATAACATCAAATAGAATAGAGTAAAACAGAACAGAATATAATAAAACAGAATAGAAAATAAAATAATAGAATAGAAAATAAAGGAATAGAATACTATATAAAAAAATTAGAATAGAATAAACGGAATAGAAAAAAAAGAATAGAATAGAAAATAAAGGAATAGAATAGAATGGAAAATAAAAGAATATAATGAAATAGAAAATAAAATAATAGAATAGAAAATAAAGGAATAGAATACAATATAAAAAAATTAGAATAGAGCAGAATAGAACAGAAAAAAATTGAAAAGAATAGAAAAAAATAGAATAGATTAGAATAAGATAGAATAGAATAAAATAATAGAGAAAAATATAGCTGTCTTCGAATTTTGAAATTCTAACATAACGAATATGACAAAATTAAATTTTGAATTTAACAAACAAATCTGAAATGAAACAAATTTTTCCATCACGCACATCTTTACTTACTCTTATGCAACTGCAGTTGACAACCACCATATTATTATTATTATTATACGGGATTTATATAGCGCCAACAGTTTTCTCAGCGCTTTACAATAAAACGAGAGACAATACAGCAACAATACAGTTCAATACAAGAGGGTTATGAGGGTCTGATCCTTGGAGTTTACAATCTAGGAGGGAGGGGCTAGTGGTACAAAAGGTAGTAACTGTGGGGGATGGACTGGTTGGAAGAGTAGAAGATTTCATTATTAGCTGAGGGCAAGATAGACTTCCTTGAAGAGAGAGATTTTCAGAGATCGCCTAAAAGTGAGCAGAGTAGGCGATAGTCTGATAAATTGGGTTATTAAAAAGAGTTATTATAAAAACACAAAGTCATAATATTGAGGTTCCATGAAGATTTACAGCAGATGAAAATATATGAAATAACACAATACATATTTGCAGTGTTCTTTAAATTCAATTTAATATGATTTAAAAACGGATGATCGAAAATACTGAATATTTGGGCATTGCCACCAAATACTGATTACAGTACCTTAAATATAAGGCTCATACATGGATGTCAGAAATTAAAGCTCATTTTAACCTTCCTAGTTTGTAACAGTAATGCAATCAGACAATACAGTAAACCCCTTGCCCTCCAGAGGATTTACCCCCCTTCCTGACCAGGCCATTTTTTGTGTTACAGCGCTGCATTACTTTAACTGAAAATTGCGCGGTCATGCAACGCCGCACCCAGATGAAATTTACATCCTTCTTTTTCCACAAATTGTGCTTTCTTTTGGTGGTATTTGATTGCCTGTGCGGTTTTTATTTTTTGTGCCATAAGCAAAAAAAGATAATGTTGAGAAAAAAAACAATATTTTGGACTTTTGCTATTAAACATGTCCAGTAAAAAAAAATTAAAAAAATCGAATTTCGTCATAAATTTAGGCCAAAATGTATTCTGCGACATGTCTTTGCTTAAAAAAAAATCCCAATACAGGTAAATTAATTGGTTTACGTGAAATTTATAGCTTTTACTAGATACTGTTTTTTTTTTCCCCTACTAGTAATGGCGGAGATTAGCGATTTTTAGCAAGACTGCGGGACTGTGGTGGGCATTCTGACACTGGGGTAGGGGGAACTAACTTGGTGTCACTGACATCCCTAGTGACACCAATACAGTGATCAGTGCTAAAAAAGCAGCACTGACACTGTACTAATGACACTGGGCAGGAAGGGGTTAATGTGAGAGGGAGATCAAAGGGTTAACTGTGTGTAGGGAGTGTTTTACTAGGGGGTGGGGGGGGTATGCTTCATTGTAAGCACACTGATCGGGATGGCTGTGCTGTGCACA